CATTTCCTGGAACTATCAACCAGACCTTAATTCTCCTCACAAGACATCCCTTTAAAATTGTGCAGCTCTCTTAATCAACCTTTGTATCAGCGGCAAATTTGCAGTATGACCTAATTTGAAAGATGTCTTGAAGTGCTGACTCAAAGGGTTGGTGAATAAAAGCCAGTCATTGCCGCTGTGACATTAATGTGATGCAAAACAAAATCGAGTTGCATCAGCTGAACATTAGTTTGCAAAAAAATATTAGTGATTGAAGCCACTTCCTGGTCATCTTTTATTTATACTCGTGAAATTTATACTTCTTGGGGTCTGAAACGGCTTTTAAACAAACTTCTGGAGGAGAAGCACGAAGAGGCTCTTAAACGGTGAAAAATCCCAGTCGGATCTATACATCTAAGCTGCATCATTTGCACTTCATAATCTCCTCTCTTTTATAGAGCAGGAGGCAGACACATTATTTCAGAACTTTTATTAAAATATTTATACAGCAACAGATGAAAATTCTCATCCTAATATGTCTCTTTGCATTTTTCGATTGCGTTCCAAGTCTTTATCTTTTTTTTCCTTCTCTAATTGAAACGCAGACGATACTCCTTCATTCTCTGGATAAGTAACTGTCTCAAAATGACTAGCAGTTACTTTGGGACTCAAAGAAATAAAAAGGAAAGAATGAATTTGGGCCAGAAAGTTTATGGGGGGAAAAAAACATCCCTCACAATGCAAGAAAACTCCATTCCACCATAGTTTTATTTAACGTCTCCAAAAAGAAAAAGTGAGTATAAATTATGGAGGGTTTTTTTGCTTTGATTTTATGGGGACATTGTTTCAATTTTTTTTCATTTTTTTTTTTCCCTTTAGCTTCTCTTTTTCATACTTTCTTAAGGAAATTTATTTGAGCTAGAACAACCTGGCCAGAGAGGAACAGAGTGCATTTCTTTACCAGTTTGTCAAATATTGGCAGCTAATTTACACTCTGAAGGGTTACTGAAGAATCAGAGGTCTAGGGATGAATCAACTCAGCAAAACTATTTTTCCCTGCACTTTTTTTTTTATTATTTTACTTTTAAATTGAAATATCAATAATGAAAATTGTCTAATATGTGCTGATAAAATGTCTATGACTTTCCACTGAAGTGTCTGAAAACCAGATACATATAGACATACAGAACAAGGGAGACAGGCCATTAATTTAAAATTTAGAGGTCCAATAAGTTTTTGATAGCAATGGGTTACTGTGCTAATGATTATTTAACTTGCTTCATGTAGGGTTAAGTGTGTATGGCTATGTAAAGTGCAGTGTCTTATTGAAGAGAGACAAATTTGCCTCTGAAATGTTATATTCAAAGCAGGGGGAGGAAAGCAGCCAGATTTTAAAAAACAGTCACTCTATGATGGGAAATTTCAAGCAATTGTGAAGCAGAAGCCACCCCAGTCACAGAAGTAAATTTTGCTACTGCAGGGAAAAAAAAACCCAAGCAACCATACACAAAACCAAAATTTTTCTGGGTTTCCTCTCTGCTTCTTCTTAGAAGCTATTCTAGTATGGCTGTATTTACTGATGGGTGCAAGCACAGAACAGGGAGCATGGCTGGATGTCTTACCTTGCTGGTTATTCTCCTAATTATTCTCATCCTTTTCTCTTTGTTTGCCTTAATATTCTATTTTTTAATTTTTTTTTCCTTTTACTTATTCTCAAGATGTGTATTACCACAATAAGATACCATGGGATCTGGGATTTGCTTCTGTCTTTTTGAGCTTGAAGGGTCTTCTTATTATAGACATATAATTCGATACTGTACATGTTATTCAAGAAAACACTGATCATTCTTTTTCAAGTAAAAGGTAATACCACTTCTAAGTTAAAAAAAAAAAGCTAAAAGTAGCAATAAATGTTTGATAGCCTGTAAATGATTTACAGACTTTTTTTTACTCCAGCTCTCCTCAAGTACAGTATGTTTGTGTTTTTTATGTTGTTTATTTTGTCTTTCTAAAGGCATTGCACTTGCTAACCTCCCAATTTTGGGTTGTTTATTCTTTATGTGGCTGACTCCTTAACAGTGCTGCCATTTGTGAGTATTTTGTGTCCTTCAGCCCTCCTAAGAAGTTGTAGGCAGGAATGCTCTAAACCCTCTCATCGTTTCCTATGAGGAGAGGATGGCAAAGTAACAGCTAATGATCAGGGAGTTAGCTGGAATTCAGAGACAAATACTAAACATAATATATATCTATCTACCTATATATATATAAAAGAGATTTTTTTTTCCCTAAAAAAAAAAAGGAAAAAAAAATGCAATGAAAATTTATGACCTTAACATTCCTTCAGGGTCAAGCAATTTATCAAATTCTCTCACTTTCTGGTTTCAATTACACAGCTATTGTGGAAGGAACTTATTTTAGCAGGTTCATTTGCCTCAGTAGGGAATACAGGACTTTGGCCTAATGCTTCACCTTTAGTGCAGGCCATTTGAGCCTTAGAACAAATACCAATCATCACTCTTAGGGAAAAAAAAAAAGAAGGAAAAAAAAAAAGTAAAAAAATCTGCATCGGTATGGCCTATTGGAATGGGGTTTCTGTCAAGGTAAACGGTTGTCGGCAATGACTGTGGTAGAGTGGCGATAAATCCCATTTTATTGCTGAAAAATTCCAGCTTCTCTCCATGCCTGACAGCTCCCCACATTCTCGTACCCATTTGGGCAATTTCTGTACTATGTCCATCTGGTTCTTATTACCTCTCAACCTGCCAGTGTCTGATCCAGAAAAAGTGCAGGTCAAAAACAGGGGAAAGAAACCAAGGTGATGGACAAAACAGAAAGAGAGTGATTGAGAGACCGAGTCATGCTTCCTGCTCCTCCCTCCCCAGCCAAGAAAATATGGGTTTGAATGGAATAAACAAATTTAAGGGAGGATATTAGCTTAATTATGAAGTTTCTGTCAATGTCCTTAAAATACAAAATTAAATAAGTATTAACCGATATGCTCCGAGCCTTGGTATTGCCACCAAATATTTGCCCAGGACATTGATAGCATCTGCTTAAGTAAAACCTTTCTGGAGAACTGGGGAAAGTCAAGATTTCAAACCCTTAAATCTAGGAGTCCTGGTGCATTTCATCTGCAGCCTTTTTCTCTCTGCCCTTGGCATTAAAAAGAGGACGAGACTTATCTCCAAATTTTCATTTGGGGGTTGCAAATTGTTTTAGGAGGGCATCAAAAGTATAATTAAATTTAAATTTGAAAAAAAAAAAACCAACTAAAAAACCAACCCAAAGTAAAAGTCAGGCTAGCTTCTTGAAAGAAAAATCAAAAGAAAGTCTTTCTTTCCATGTGAATTTTGTGCATACTGCTGAAATCAGGGTTAAGTTAGAAAGTTCTCAAAACCCACTACAATAAGTAGAGGGAAATTTGATAATTTATAAAAATTTAAAAATCAAACAAATTAGCCCACCACAACTGAACTGTCAATATGTCAAAACAAAAAAAAACATGGGAGCACTTGCTCTTTTCCCAGCTAAAATTATTTGTGTGGCATCAAGGACCCCTTTCCTATCAGGAGACATGCCCTGCTCCACTTTCAATCTCTCCCTTCAAGGGAGCCCAACGAATTTAATTGCAATTTCTGTATTTATTCTACCTGAAATACCTCGTTTCCCACCCAAAATCCTGGTCACTGTACCTTTTTAATCCGTAGATCATCACTACTCAGGTCCTGTGGTCTCATGTTAGCTTACACAGCCTCTTCTTGCATTCCCTGAAGATGCAAGGGAAGTCAAACCCAACTTTTTTTGGAGCTAAAAAATCCTAAAAATCTGACTAAATTCTAAGCATCAGAAATTTCAGGGTGTGCCCTACCATCTGCTCTGTGATCCTTGGGGAGGATGGCTCTTGAGCATCCCACACTGGCTGTCTCCTATATGGTAGGATTTGCTGGCAGGTGTAATGGTCTGATCTGGCACCAAAAGGCTGGAAATTGTGGGAGATATTAGGAATTATGACCCAATGTCATGTACAAACTTACTGGCTCCCAGAAGCTCAAGATGGGGCTCTATCTGTGAAACAAGACTCAGGGGTACAGTTTGCAGAGGAGCAGGAGGAAGATGTTGCCACTGAACAAGGAGACAGAACAGAGTAGGAAGGAAAAGGTGGGGGGAGTTCAAGATCTTGCTCCAGAATGGGTGACCTAAAAACACCATGTGCAAAATGTGACATCCAGCTCACCACCTGTCCTTGCAACTTTTCCCTCTGCTGCTGGTGCGTCCATTCAAAATAAGAATTTGGAGGAGATGGCTTTAATGGGAAAAGTCTTCCTCTCTGTTACCTTTTGGTGTCAGTAATGGCACTGAGAAATCTGACCATCTATGCTTAGGATTTGCTTGCATTTGTCATGGATTATAGAATTAGATTTTTTTAAAACGCGTTATTTTCTGCGTGTCTTACTCTTTGTTCAGTTGTGGGGGGCATGCTCTGCAGATTTAGATGCCAAGATATAAGAGTGTGGTTTGAGACATCTACAAAAGCTTTGGCTTGAGGAACCACTCAGCCACACTGCTTGACTTGCCTGTGCAGCCATTGAATACAAAAGAGGCTGACGTGAGGGAAAGCCCCAACTTCGACAATAAAAATATGTCAGCATGAAAATGGTTAATGGTGAGTATTATAGCTTCAAAAGACCCCATTGGCTACCCCTAAAGGATGCCCTGCAATTGTTAAACTCATCAGATGCAACTACCCTTCCTCAGCTAGCCCTTACATTTGTCTGGCTAACAGTAAAAAAATACTATAATAAATCGGTAACATATGTTGCCAGACAAGAATAAGTGATATAAATAAAGAGTCAAGAGACATAGCCCCTCAAGAACAATGTGTAAAGATTTAAACTTCCAATGTATTAGTTAAGCTAGGAACATTTTAGGAGGAACTTGAAAGTGGTGTACTGTTTGTTTATATCATTCCTTCTCTCTCCTTTTTCCCCCCCCCACCTCTTTTTTCTTCTCTTCAGATTGCATTTTAAATCAAAATGTTCTCCATGACTGACTGCTTTGCAGCACTAGGGTAAGTCCCATTTTTCCACAGCTTAAACAAAAAATATGCCTAAGAAATCTATGCCAGAAAGGCATTTTGCTGGGTTTTGGTTTAGGAAATAAGCACAATGTTGTTGGGAAGACATACTCTTATTTTTTTTTTTTTTTCTTCTTCTCTTCTTTTTATTTTTTTTAAACCAGTTATAGAAAATTGTGCATGTGCAAACATAGCTACTATCAAGAAAGCCAATTCACTCTAAAGGTGACAACTCTCCAAACTAGTCATACATTAACAGCTGCAGCATTAAAAAAGAAAATATAAAACCAAATATGTTTTGAAACTTAGCTGGATGTTTTATTTATCTTTTACTTTTATTGAGACATCCTTTGAAAAATGGCATAAAATAAATAGTTTTACAAAGCAACAACATAATCAATCTCTAAATGAGAAGATAAATCAAGGATTTCATTAACTGCTGGTAGCCAGTTTAAATTGTAGTCTTGTCCATAATGTCTATCTATCTATGTATGTCCAAGTTATATTAAAAACCTTTAAATGGCTTTGTAATATCAGCTACATCTAGCTATTATAATAATTAATGATACTGTTTTATAAATCAATATATGTATTCTTGATAAATTCATATCCAGTTAATGGTGTAATTTAAATAAAAAATTAATGTAATAAAGGACATACTGGAATAAGCAGGAAATCTTTAAAGGTTAAGAGGCAAATTTGTCTAAATTCTTTCCTTTGTACCTATTTTTTGAGAAAGCCTCCATTGAAATGCAGCTGATAGCAGGCTGGCTCTCCAGATTTCGCTCTCGCCATTAGTTTTGTTTTAACAGCACCCGGTGAGTTTTTGCAGCCAAAGGAAAAGGGAAAGCCCCTTCAGCAGCAGGAATACTTTCCTCCCTGGTTTCTCATCCTGCTGCAAAACTGCAAACAAAAACAAAGACAAAAGCAAAAAGAAAGAAAGTAAAAAAAAAAAAAGAAACCAACAAAACACCATTCCGGCATTTGGCCAGAAGCAGAAATTATAAAAATGCTTATTTTTTACCACTTCCCATTGATTCCACATTTGTATTAATACAAAAATATTTTGCTTGTTCTATACGGTGTCATTAAAAAAGGTAAAATATGAACATTTTGTTCCAGGCATGAAGTGCATTCAGAGAGCCTGGAAACCCTGCAGACTGTTCAGTGTAATAAAAAGCTGTTCTTTATCTCTTGTTTTAAATACAGTTAATCCTGTTTATTCAGCAAACACATTTAAGAGCAACTTTGAGGGGAAAAAAAAAACCAAAACAGAAAAAGCTAGAAATTGCCTTTTTCTATCTGCAGTGGTGAGAAACCGTGGCTCTGTTCCTTTGCTTTTATTTATAGTCAGTAACCACAAAATGTATCTCTAACAATAACAGAGATTTTAATAGGCAATATTAATTGTTCTTCCCTTAACTTTTGATCTGAAATGCTTCAAACAAAAGCCCGTCGCCTGTTTATACGCTGAATTTGTTTGAAGAATATCTTTCTGAAATGATGCAAAACACGACACTTCGTCATTCGGACTGACATGGGACAGAAATGTCATTTTAATCCATTGAGTGTTCTTTTTTTTGGGGGGGGGTTTGTTTGGGGGGGTGGCAGGTTTTTTTCTCAACATTGCTCTGCCTTATTTAGAGCAGCAGTGATCTGCGCAGTTTCTTTTGACACTGATGGGTATTTCAAACCCCTTACGCTGAGGGGAGGGAGAAAAAGGAATTTGCTGCCAGTCACAGCGGCGATGCAGCTCCATGAGCCATCGCTTATTTGCTAAAAGTTAACATTTCAAATGAGCCTGAAATGTAAAGGTGGGCTTTTTGATGCTGGGACTGTGTTTAGGAATGGAGAGAGAAAATAGAGGGAAGATGGTTGTGCTTGTATGTTAAAGATTATCAGGGTATTGGTAATGCAGACATTTAAAATGTATTTTGTTTTTTGAAGCAGCGAGGAGCAGGAGATTCACAACCAAATCTGGGATTCTTAATTTAAGCTTTATAGGAAAAACATCAAACAGCAGCTTACAGTAACACGCTGAAATACATTACACATTTTAAATATCTTCAGTAGGAAATGCATGTTATATTTTTTACCTTCCCCTACTGGGATCACTAACATGCCTCTCCCCAGACAAAGCAAGGACAAGTTCCATCTTTAAAAATTATCTGCCTTACAGATCACATTCTCAGGCATGTTCCCCGCTTTTTATTACCACGGATAACCTCTTAATGCTATCACAATTTTATACTTGTTAAGTGGACATCTTCCCTATATTTAACTGCAAACAAAGCGACTTCATTTTGGGGGGTGGGAGGAAGGAGAAATGCTTTGGGATGATTAAAAACATAAGTTTTTATCTTCTGTCACACCAGCCTATCAATTATTCAAAACCCTACTAAATTTAGATGTCTGTTCCTAAAACGTTGTTTGCACTCGTTCCCTGGGAAGATGGAGGCAGCTGATAATTTGGCTAAATTATGCGTTTGAGCCCAATAGTTACAAATGAAAAGAGTTGAATTCGGCAGATTTATCTGCCGCCGATGAAAATTCTTGGTAGCAGCAATCCAGACCTCCTCCTTCAGGGAGCAAATGGAGGGGTGAGGTGGTGCCCACAGGTATTTATGTGGACCAAACCTCACTGTTAACAGCAAATATCGCCATGCACCGGTGGCTCGGTGGGAGGCTTTACTGATCAATTAGAGACTGGCTACTGGGGGAGAAGGGCCTAAAGCAGCCCCTGAGGTGCTTTGTGCCCCAGGTAGTCATTACCTGAGTGTAAAGACCAATAAAAGGGAAATTATTGCTATTACAGGATGAGATGTGAAGGATGCGGGGTGGACGACTGTGGATCAGGCAGGGTGTGACGCGCTCAATCCCAAACCTGCGCTTTGATCCTCCCCGCTGCAGCCCGGCTGCTGTGCTGGTGTAAAATATCTCCCTTTCCCAGCCGTGTCGGGGTGTGATTGGCAGCAAGTCCTCCACCGAGCGTGGGCGTCCTCCGGTGTGCACCAGTCACAGGACGTGAAGGGGGAGTTTTTGTAATTTATTTTATTTTATTTATTTTTTTTTTTTATAAATAGATAGGCTCTGACAAATAACACCGCCTCTTCATGAAGCTCCTTCGCAGCAGCAAACAGACCTCTGCTGGGTTTATCAGTGGCAGAACCTCCTTTCCTAAAGGAAATAATATTTTTGGTGAAGACAATTGGGCTGATACTGCAATAGCTTAGGGGGGCAAAAAGCTGCAGATGCTGGAGCAGGAGCAGAGCTGGTTCCAGCAGCCCTGGGCATGGGGCAACACTGATTGCAGCACCGGGCGTGTTTCACAGAGCCAGGCATGAGAGCAAGAGGAGAGCTGAAAGAAATGCTGCTGACTGTGAAAAATAACAGAATAAATAATCAAATAAAATCAAATCCATGCGACAGAAACACCACCCTTCCTCTTGCAGTGACAGTTGGTAATTGCCAAAACACAGACAGCCTTAGGCTAAAAAAAAAACCAACCAAAAAAAACCAGAACAACCCCCCCCAAAAAATCCATAAAGAATTTAATTTATATTTAGAAACCAAAATGTTTCAGGCAAACAGCACACAAATTGCAGCAGCCCTGGTGTCATTCCCCACTACCCTGTGCCGACTCTTTAAGTTACACTGCTAAGGAAGGTATCCCCATTTTTACAGCTCTGGCATAAAGGCAGGCGAGCGGCCGTGGGGAGGGGAGAGAACCCAACCCCCCAAAAAAACCCAAAACAAAGGACGTGTGAGGGCTTTCATTTATTTTGATAATCCTCCTCCTGCTCCACAGCGTTTTGCTGTCTTTGTCAAAGTGAATGACAACAATTTGGCCAACTCTCTCTGAGCTGCACTCAACAGTGACAGGCAAATTATCAGAGGCCCTGCACTCCTTATTATCAGAGGAGAAGTCATCAGGAGGACGTGCGGAGGATCCCTCTCCCCTGTCACTATTTGTCAGTGGGACAAGGGCCACTGCTATGGGTAGCTGACAGGTAATTTCAACAATAACAATTACTCCTATTACTGGTGTCATAAACAATTCGCCCAAGGCATGACAATAGCAAAGCTTTATAATTCAATGCCATATAAATAAATGCCAGCAGGTAACAAGTAATTTAGCTCCAATCAGGCCTTGGCCCTGGCATTAATATTGTTATTGCAAGAAAATGGAAAATTGAAAAAATTCAATATGTTAATGAATTAAGAGGGGTTCAAAGGCTAAGGGAGGGGAGGCATGATCCAGAATGGGGGGGGAAGGAAGAAAACAAAAACAAAAGATACAAAATCATGCCTTCAGAACCAGCACAAATATGTGTTCATACAACCTTATAAGTAGTTTTTGATATAAAACATGGTCTTGCTATGCTGCTTTTCAGGTTAGGGCAAAAGGCATGCAGGAGCCTGAACCCCACCCCTTGCCTCCATCTGCCACACTGAGAACGACGTGCATGAAAAAATAAACTGAATTTAATGGTTTTATTAAAAACAGAATCATACTCGAAGTCTCACGCAAGACATAGATTTAACAAAGATTAAAGGTTTATTTACAACTCCATTGCTTTATTGTCCACTTCTTGCATGCTTTAATCTTTTTTAAACAAGCTCTGTTAAATCATTGATTCTCTATTTATCAAGAAGAAGGATTTTATTGCACTTTTTCTCTCCCCAAATGCCCTTCATAGGCCACAACACCCTAACTCTTTTACGAAAATGATGATCAGCAGCAAACAAGCTAAAGACCAATATCTCCAAGTCCAACTTCTTGATCAACCCAATTTGCAATTTTACTATTTGTCCAGCAAGACAATGTGGCATCAGGCTGACAGCAGTAAAAGAATTTGAAAATCTCTAATTAGGAGAGCTGCGGAGCAATTAACGCATGTCAAATTTCACTTCATCAAGTGCCACTCTAATTTTCCCACTAAAAATTAATGGACTTTTTTTTGGTGTGTCTGTGTCTCTGTGTGTGTGTGTGTGTGTGTCCCCTCAAGGCAATGTTGATTCAAATCTGCTCAAGATGCAGCGTTGCACAGCTAAGCATCTTCTTGATTACAACCCGACACACTTCTAACTGCTTTCATTCTCACTGCCACAGATACTTTGTCAACAGTCAAATTACGCCATGCTGATAACAATGCATAATGGTCTTCCTCAAAGGAGGCTCCTGTCATGGAGCAGCCTTTCATAAAAACCCACCGGTTTCTTCTCTGGGAAATAGATCTGGATGAAAGGAATTAAGCTTTTGTGGTTTCTGCCATGGTTGCAATGAAATTTATTTTTCTTTTCTCATTTCTTCTTCTTCCCCTTGTGCTATAATTTATTTATTTTTGTACTCACCTGAAATTACGGCAAGGGAACTGTTTAAAGAGTGATACAGAACGGAAAATATTTATAAGTCACTGTTTATACAGGCTTTGCTTTAAACACTTTGCTCCAAGACATTTTCAAGAGCAACATCCTCCTTCCAGTACCACTCATTTCTTTTATTTTATTTTTTTTATTTTGCCTTCTCTTTCTAAAGGTGCAGGGCAGCATCCCGCACTCTTTGCATAAGCACAAGCCCCGCTGACGTCAATGGGAGTTTTTCCGGGGCGAGGGCTGAGCGCCTTGGCCCGCTGCTATAAACACGTTGGGACTTTCTCTTTTAATGGATGGTATTTAGATTCTGAGTGGGGCTTGTTTAACAGGCATGGCTTCCAGAGTCCTCAAACATCGTGGGGCACACAGGACAAATTGTCTTTTTGTCAGAGCAGCATGAGGGCAGGAGAGAAGCACTGAGCGATCACAGGCAGTTTTTACCTTCCACTCACCGCTCCCTGATCCCCACCTCCCTTTTTCTGGGAGATCAATAACAGCAAAAGTCAGAGGGTGTCATGGGGCAGGATTTCCAACAAGTAGAAGTGGAATTAATAACATCATTCAGAGATATTAATATTTTTTTTGCCTGTAAATTTCAGAGCTGGAATATAGCTGTTTCTCCCTTGGAGAGAAGAAGAGTTAGCACCCACAGCCCTGTCTATCACTGGGCAGGGTACATAATCCTTGGGGTGTGCACACTACAAAACAAAGCCAAAACCACACATTGCCTTTCATCTGAGCCATCTTCCCATGAAAATTTTATTTCTTGCCCCAGATAAATGACTGATGCTGCAGTGCCTCCCAATAATTTTCTATATGCTCCCCAACTATATTCACCCATGCCCCTGCAGGTATTAGCATTTTGCAATTAACTTTGCCCAGCACACTAAGAAATGTGAAATGCAGGGTATTTGGTTCCTAAATTCTGGATGTTCCCCTCTTTGTGTCCTCCACCCAGGATGGAGAAGTGAGTCTTCTCCTAATGACACAGCCCAGTGCACTCAGAGTCCTCGAGCATCCCCAGACCAGCGGCATGGCAGCTGCTGGGGCTGCAGGTTAATACATGTGCAAGTGCACCTTCTTTTTTGCCATGTCCTTCCCTAAACTTAGAAAGCTCTGATGCTGCTTTTGAACAAAGCAGAGATTATATACTTTGCCTCAACAACCTCTCCTTTTTTTATTAGGGGATGCCCTCCCCCCACTCCTCAAAAAATGCTGCCATAAAAACAATAGGCGAGGCCGTAATTTAAAGAGGGAAAAATGTGATTATATAACACATCCTGCAGTAATCAATTTTACCTCCAATATCTGCTTTTGTTTTCAAAATGCTAAATAAACAATACATAATGCATCCCTCATCAGCCAAAACCATGAGGGCTCTGTGCTCAAATAACAGGAAACATATTCAATTTTCCTAACAGAAGACAGTTCATTAAGCTGTGCCACATCAAATAAAACTTTAATTTCTCCAGCATCAGAGTCGCAATGAAAGCAATTGAGGAAGATGAGCCATATGGTACTTCTATCAGCAAACACATATTGCTCATTCCCCCAAAGTTTTCTAATTCTGCTCCCCAGACCTGTGTAATATAGATAATGTGCTCTGAGCGCAGCAACCATGAGCTATCTGGTGTACACTTCTAATACTGTATTTAATGGGAAATAATGAATCATAAAAGCCTGCAGAAGACGGCTTTTGCTAACCTAAATCTCAGCTGTAATTTCATTGTTCTGTGCCTAAGATGCTGTTTGCCCTTTTCAAACAGCAGCAGTTGAACATAATTATGCTGCTACAAACCTGGGCTGCAAAAAAGAAAGCCTTCCTAATAGAACCAAGTTTTTATTAACTCTTGAAATCCTGAGCTTGGGGCAACTGCAGGCAGAGAGCTGCTTGTCAAGTTTTAGGGTTCATTAAAGCACACGTACACATATATCTTGATTTTCAGTGCGCAGCCCTACAAATTAAATTGATGATTGCCACATTGGGCCAAAAATGCAACAGGAGAAGGCTGTGAAAAATTAGGAAATCTTCTTGACATCGGGAAATCCGACACTTGTCTGCTCTAACATCTGTAAGTGCCAAAGAAAGGGGGATTTTTTTTCCTTAAAGGTAAGTCTATTTTTCTTCTTCTTGCCAGATATAAAAATTGTGGTTAGTGCCTGGAGTAAGGGGCCCTCTAAACTTTATAGTGTTTACCCTCCATTTATAAATCCATAATGATCTAATTAATGATATCATAAGGTTAAAAGTTAAACAGCACTGTATTTTCTCTGCCTTTTAGAAAGGCAGGTTTGCCTATCTCCGAGAGAAGATCGGTCGGGGCTGTTTTCTGAAGAAGCCTGTAGGTAAAGAGGCATCCATACATTCACACAGGAGGATTCATAAAGGCAAGGACGAGGAGATAAAGGTATTATTTTGACATGATGACCCCTGCAAAATGTCTTTGACTCATCCCAAGTAAGCCTCTTTCTTTCCTTCCTCCACCCTCTCTCCCTCCACTCCGCTCAAAATACGGGGCTAATTTAAAACATTTTCTAGATATGCTACTTATACATATTGAAAACATATTTTAGTGACTGTGTTTGTTTTGGCAATATATAAACCAAAAAAAAAAACAAAAAACAACAAGAAAACCCAATTAAATTAAAAAGAGAGACTTTTAAAAGTTAGAGATTGCCTTTTAAAAGCTTATTAAAATCAGCATGTTAGATGTCTGTCTTTGAATTAGCTCTGAGGCTTGATTGCTTTCATTAAAGCTGCCTGTTTGGGTGCTGCTTGGTGAATGTTCAAGTCTGGATTTTTTCCCCTCTTCTTCCACCCCCGGCCCCGAGCTGCTTCGTACTACTTGTCAACTTGGATTTTTCCCTCCAAATTTGAAAGCAAAACTTGGATTTTTTTTTATTTTTTTATTTTTTTTGAGAGGCAACAGCCACCCCCACCCTGCCTTCCCCCTTGCAAAATATCACAACCAAAATCACCAGCAACCCGAGTCAGAGAGAGACCAACAGGTAATATATATACTAATATATATATATATATTAAAAGATAGCTTAAAAAAAAAGACACACCCCAAAATACCCACCATGACCAAACCGACACCCCCAAAAAACCCACCCCAAGCCACAAAAAAACTCCAAACTATCACATTGCTCATAGCCCATGAATGCCTTAAAAACAAATGTTTAAACAGGTTTTCTTTTTTTTTTTGAAGCGGCAGAAAACCTCTGCATGCTCCAATGGGTTACAATAACAATGCTCTATTGCAATGTAAAACAAGCTGGAGGAGAAAAAGGTGCTTTTTGTTACCATTTTATCAAAGCTGTTCATCTTCTAGCTGCAGGCAGCATTTTGCTGGAATTGCAGATATTTCTCTGTCCGGGCTCCTTTGTTTGTGCATCTCATTTGCATATATTTATCTCCAGCTGAGGGTGCTTTCAGCTCATTAAGGCCTCCCCTCACATTATTTCATAAGCCAGCTGCTAGGAGGGATTTCACCTGTGGTGACTGAGAAAAGAGGGGTGAAAAAACCAAATTCTTCATTAAAAAAAAGAAAAAAAAAAAGAAAAAAGAAAACAAAAAAAACCAACAACCAAGGAAATCTTCTGACTCTCTTCCCCTATAAATGGGCACCATTTGTGTTAAACAGCCTCTTGTCATGATAGATGCCTCCTGGGGTCAGGGGGGAAAGTTGATTTGAAGGTCAGCAGTAAAACAACAGACAAACCAGACGCCAAACTGGTTCTTTAGCTGTCGGTGGGAGCAGTGGTACAACCAGGTCTTGAACCTTTTTCAACCTCTAATAAAACAGGGGAAGAATCTGAAGTGGAGCAACCAGGCCCCAGAGGAAAAAAAAAAAAAAAACAACCCACAAATAATATCAATATCGAGCAGCAACGGGAAGCAAGGGGGCAGCTCTCAGCGTTACGGGCACTCTGCTATTGTTTCAAGAGCTGGGGAATTAATTCCACTTATTTATTTAAGGCGTGTCAACTCACTGCCTAAACCTGTTTCGGTGTCAAGATGAATAAAACTTTTATGGCTCATAAAATAGAGCCATTCATCTCCATGGTGTTTGTGGTGCCTGGGTTGTTGGGGTTTTTTTTTTTCCCCCCTTTCCTCCTGGTAGGCTGAGCTGGGCCAAAATCTCTGTGTCCCATTGATACCAACTCACTCACAGGAAAAAAAAGCAAATTTGGATGGGGTATCTCAAGCTAAACTTCTGGGTTTGATTAGAAATTGTAAATGTTAATTCATCATAGTCGTGTGCAAACCCCCCCATCTCCTCTATTTCCCCAGCCTAAAACCTACAATGAATTTACATCATCTGTATGGAGCTTTGGACCAACAGGTAATAAAATACAATAAAGCTTGCTTTTTATCAGGACACACACACAAAAAAATCCCATTAATTATGGTTCATGACTACTCTAAACCAAATGTTCAAATAGTAGTTGGAAATGATGCATAAAATCTCAGCATGTTCTGATAGGTTATAGAGTCAGTGGTTTATTGCAATGTAAAACAAGCCACAGGAAGAGAGGGTGGTTTTGTTTACCATTTTCATCAAAGCTGTTCATCATGTTGATATACTTATGCTATATTGTGACCCTTACATACGTTGCATTTCATATATTTATTTTCCAGGTTGTTGCCACTTTTGCTGCCTTTGCCTCTGAGAAGTTGAGTAAATGCTCTGGCCCCTTTCAAATATTTTCTCATCTGCGCTGAATTTCTACCGACAAATCAACTGATAGATACGGACCTAAGAAAAAATTATTATCATTGAGTAAGCTTTCTTTTTTTTTTTTACTTAATCTGAGGCAATTAGTACCTGAATAAACACAGGCTAAGTAATCTACCTCCTCAAAAGGTAATCAGACTTGAAAAGCGCTGTTTGGCTCTACCCAAGAAAAGCGCAACTTGATTAAATTGCTTTGGAGATTTGCTTTCATTTCTTCCCTTTTGCCCTAGAAAACATTTTATAACATCCCAATAACTTTCATTTTCTCCCCATGCCAAACTTGGGGCCTCTGTTGGTTGTTGCTGTCCTTTTCCCCCACCTTCCCTAAATCTTTAACCCCGCTTCTCATTTTTCTTTGCCTCTAATCTAATCACTAATTCCTTGGTTTGGCCAAATAGTTAAAAATGTTAAGTGCTGCTCACAATTCCTGCTGCCTCCCCCACGTATCTGTCTCTGTTTATGGAACAGGCCCTGGTTTCCTCCTGCTCTTGTTCAGCTGTAGGTCTGCAGGTCAGGAGACTGTAAATACACACAGTGCTGCCCCAACCCATAAATCTGAGCAAAGGGCAGCCTTATATATTCAGATAAGGGATGTAAGGGGAAGGCGGGGTGGGGGGAGGGGGAAGGAATAAAAAAAAAACCATAAGTGCAAGAAGAGAACCAGGAGAATCCGTGGTGAAGGAGGTTCTCTGCCAGACCCCGAACCCAAGCTGCATGCTCTGCTACCTTGCAGGATGTTCCAGCCAGAGATGAATCCAAAATATTCACCCTTCTTCCCACCCTGCCTTGTTTATATATAAATCATGACAAAAAGCATTTTATTACCTTTGGGGCAAAGAAATTAAACATGAGATTTCAATGGCTTTCTCTCCTCCAGATCTTTGTTGGTCTATTTCCTGCCCTGCCCCCCCACTTTATTTCCTGCACCTCTGAAGCTTTCAAGGGAACAGTCCCCCTGTTATTGCTTCTCAGTTCCAAGGTCTTAGAATAAATAACATTGTTATTACTCACTTCACCAATTTCCAAGAAGAAATATTGCTGCAGCAAATGCAAGCAGCACTAATATTTGCAAAGTGATAAATGGATTGTTACATACCTTCCCGTCTGTGTGGCCTCCAGCCATCCTCCGGCCGGCTACATCCCTCCTCGGGGTGGGAGGGAGGCTGCCTTTGAACTTAGCAGGGTCCAGGCACTTAGTGCCTTGCACCAGAGCCTGCCCCCAGCCCCCTCCCTCCCTCTCTGATGGAGAGATAATTCTTAATGGACCATGCCAGAGATGGTACCGGGACTGGGGGAGAGCAGGAGCCACGTACCAGGACCAGGTGAAGATGCTTTTGGTGCACAATCAGCGAGTGGTGGGTTTTGTTAGTGTTGGGTGCTGCAGGGAGAGGTGTGAGAGACTTGGGATGTGCCCAGGAGATGACTGCTGCTCCACTGCCCTCCCCAGCTCCTGCACACAGCTGCCCTGGTGTGGGTACCACATCCCTGGCGCCGCAACGAGAGCCACCTGCTCTTCTCCAGCTCCCACTGATGTGAAAAGTGGACACAAAAAGGCCTGCAGAGAAGAAAAATTATTTTTCAAGTTCTCCCCACTCTGCCCCCAAAATGTCTTCAGTGCCTGAATGGGAACTGCAATGGATACCTGAGATACCAGGGATACAGATGTTCTGTGGGGTGAAAACTGGAAAGACATATTTCCAAACACCACCATCCTCACTGCTCATTAAATTTCATTAATTCATATAAAATTTTCAGCATACTTTCTTAACCAAAGCTGAGGTTAGGGAGGTGCTAAGGCCAGGAGGAATCTCCTGACCTCCCCATCCCAAACCTGGTTACTTACCATGTAACTTCTGAGCTTAAAAAGAGATGGCAGTTGGAAAATTCACATGAAATAATTAAAAAGCAATATAATGTTGGATTTCCTTTTTAAAGCAGCAATTTATATCTAGCTTTGAGACATGATTTGGGCTCCTTGATGTTATTAAAAAAAAAAAAAATTCTCCAAATCAAATTATTCCTGGGCTGCAAGTCATGCTGGAAAAAAAAAACTCCACCCTGAATTTGCGGTAATTAGAAACAAACCAGTGCATTTTCCTTCAGACCAACAGAGAGTAAGTTGCTGACATTTCTTAGACTAAGCCTGTTGCATTTCCATGCCATGGCTCTCAGGGTAGGGGCTGGGAGGGTTTGGTTGGATGTCTTGAATTCATTGGTGTGATAGACACCCCACATTAGGTTGTTCAGGCACAAAAGGTGATGTAAAAGCTTCTTCTTCATGGGCAGAGCAAAATGAAACTGCACCAGGAGCACCATCCCCAGTCTGCTGCTGCTGGTGTGGCATTGCCTCTGTGGCTGGGGCACCACCAGGAGAAGGGGTGAGAGCACCCTTCCTCATGTGCCCTCCCTGGCCTTTTCTTCCTGCACTCCCCCTTCCCTTCTGAAGAGGTTGTCAGGAGTCTGAGGAGATCCTTACGGGTGTGTGCAGGTCTGGTGTGGAGGTTAAACACAGCAGGATGTGGTGCCAGCTCCAGGTGTGGGGAGGTGAGGAGTGAGTGCAAAGGTTTCAGCCACCTGGGCTGGAGGTGTTGGCATGGCCTGGCAGTGCTAGCGTGTGAATTCTGTGCCCAAGGGGATGGGGAAGGTGGGAGGTTGAAAGACTTGAGCTATTTATTAGGTTGCTTTTTCCTAAGGGGTGCCTTGATCCATAGAAGAATGAGCAGAATTCAAGGACTGCAGGAAGAAAGTTATTCAGAATCTGTGAACAGAGGTATGAAAGGGTCAATCAGAAGAGAGGACAAAAATATATCTGACATGTTTTCTTCCTGCCCAAGGTAGATACCATCTCCATTTTTGTTTTTAATGTAAGATAAGAAATACTGAAAAGAATGTCACAAGTTACAGGTAAGTATAGAAATTCCCTTGAGATAGGCTCTTATGCAAAGTATGTACAGTTCACTAGTAACAAAAATCAGATAGCCTGTATTCGTTTTTAATAAAAGAATTAATAGAATCATGAAATTATAGAATCATTAAGGTTGGAAAAGACCTTCAAGATCCTCTAGTCCAACCTTTACACAAACCATCCACAATACTCCCTCATAAACATATATTTGTGTATGTTTGTGCAGCTGTAAATAGGCATGTGATTGTGTACATACATGTGGGCATGCATATATATCTAAAATAAAAGCCCAATGTGCATCAAATGAAAAACAAAATGAGCTGCAAAACTATTTAAGGAAAAAAGTGATGAAAGTGGGCGAGAACTGGGGCAGCAGTATGGTGAGGAGCTATCCCACTGCTTGGAAACCTCCAGAAACCTTCTTAAACATTTATCAGCAACTTTTCTAACTTTAGGAGAAGGGCTGGGAGCGCCCCAAAACCATGATTCTTCAGGATATTCCTGTCAGGCAGGAAACCTTGTGAGAGCAGCATTGCTTGCTCTCTGTTCTGCTTCCAGCTCCAGAAAGCACACAGATAAGGAGAAAAATCAAAATAATTGAATATATACAAGACATCCACATTTGTATAAACAACAACCTTTGAAATGGGAAAAATGAATCAGGTCTTAATTTTTTACGATTTCTTTTTCTCAAACTAAAAAAAAGAAGAAGAAAAAGTCAGGCAGTTCTTATTTTATCCAGACCAGTTCATAAATCCCAAGTCATAAATCCACATGATATCCCGGGCTGCTGGATTTTGCATTTGGAGCTCTGAAAGACTGATAGCTGAAAGATTTATAAAATCCCAGGTAGCCAGAGTGCTCCCTATTGGCTCCACATCTGAGAGGTCCCTGCATCCTGCTTAGCCCAGAAAGCTGGATGTATGGGATATATTGTGCTCAAGAAGCAGCACACCCCCACCCTGCTATTTTCAGATGTGACGAAGGCTAAAAATCTGATCATGTGAGGTGGATGGGCCCTGTTTAGGGACTTTTCTGCACAGACATGGGGACAGCCACAAACTGGGGCTGCCCAAAGACTGCTGCCACCTTCTGCAAAATTACACCATGGTTTATGTCGTAGATGTATGATTTACCTTGTGTGGTAGACCTGGCCATAAACAGCAGAATTGTTTCAGCTGCTTTGAATGTACGCTTAATTTTGCTTCTTGTAATATCACTGAACAGGAGTGACTGTTCAGTAAGAGCAGGGGATCCTCAGTAGGCCAGAAGATGATGATACTTAGAGGATAACATGACCAGCCCCTTCACAAAAAAATGGTACCCGCCATGCCTCAGATTAAATACAGGTTGCAAACAATTCAAAGCAAAATGTCAAAGCAGCAAGCTCACATTTCCCAAAGAGCTCTGAAGGATGGTGATGAGAGGTTTATCTCATCAGTTCAGAGGATGTTATGCATGTGACCATGTGTATTGGGGTGAAGATTCCCCAAAACAGACCCTCTGAAGACTGATTTGTGCTATTTGTCTGTATACACAGGATGCTGAAAAAGTGCTTAAAGCCTTCCCTCCCTTACTTTCATCTATCCTTCCTCAGTGACCTTATTCAAACCTAATTCTTTTCTCCAGACTTGTAATGACAGACATTTTTAATATGCTTCTGTTGAATTAATAAAAAGATTTTAAAAATCCCTCTTCTGCAGCTACAAGATTTGTTTTATAGCTGTAACTAACATCGTTGTTACTGAGAAATTAAATGATTTCCTTTACATTTCATATATTTTTATTCATGAGTCTGAATATATTGAAGTCCATGAGGAAAATCCTCCTTCACCCTCCTGGGGAAGGATGGTGGAATCCACCTGGGTTTTGCCTGTTTGGAATTTTATTGGAAGGACATTGTCCAGATAAATTTAGATAATTGTTGTTGTGGTGGTGGTGGTTTGTCTGACTCTATTAGTGGAAATTAAGCATTGCAATGCTTTATGTTCCCTGTGTGTTGTGAGCATCTCTGTCTTTGGGCACCTTGAGTGGCTTGGCTTGCACACCATGGAGCTGCCTGCCTCCAGCATGCCTCTTCCCCATCCCTGCCCTCACTGGAAACAGTCCTCCTTTAGGAGACCAAACCAAACCAGACATAAACAGACCAAAGCATTTATATGAGGACTAAGTCAAACTCACATCTGGAGGGGTTTTTCTTGGTTATTCTTGAAACCCAAAGCTTTCCCAAGCCTGTTGAAGTCCCTCACAGGGTATCATCCCCTTCCCAGGCAGAACATATTTCTTTCTAAACCTCAAACTCCTGTGGACTGT